ATATATTTTTTTATTTAAAAATTTTTTCTCTTTTTTATTTTCGTATTAATTTACATCTAAATGTGTCGAATCATTAATTTTAATTAATTAAATAAACTAATTATTATTACAATTAAAAATATTTATTTAAATACAGCAAAGTAATGAAGCTACGAGGAAATCCATTAGCATTAAAACTCCTAAAAAGTTATAGTTTCATTTTATATTTTTAAATATTTAATAATAAATTTTGTTTACTCTGATTTTCTTTTTTTATTCTAGACCAAAATGCTTCATTGTTAGACACATCTGATTCGAATAAAGGTCATCAACTACTTTCGTATAGAAACCAACGGTCTGCCAGTGGTCTAAGTGACTTACTGATGAACCTCCATTTGGAACAGCCGTCGTTTGATCCTACTGTTGCAAAAAATGTAACGACACAGTTAGGTCAAACAGTGTACCTCCATTGTATCGTTCACAACCTTGGTGACAAAACGGCAAGTAACTATTTTTTAACTTTATTTTTTTTTCCTTTTTTTTCTACTCCTTTTTCTCTCTCCATAATAGAATAGCGTGTAGCCAAGGAAAAGAAAGAACTTTATTTATCACCCACACTACGGATATTGGGATTTTCTGTTTGGTATTTTGAGAAAATGTGCCCCTATGTTATTTAGGTGTAACACATAAATAACATATTGTATCATCCTCATTGTCCTTTAATATATATATATATATATATTTTAACGATGGAATTTTTATTAAATATTATAATTAAATTCGTAAATAAATAGTTGGATTAATCAATTAATTAATTAAAACACGATTTTATTTGCGTTTTAATTTTATTTTAAAACTTTAATTACATGCTTAGTGTTTTATGCTGGTTGCATTTTAATTAATGAAAATTTAACTGAAAATTATTTAAATTACGCAATTAAAATCAATGGATTTTATTTTTAAATTAAAGAATAATGTAATTTATAATTAAGAAATTTATTTAAAACATAATTATATATACATATAATCATCATATTTTTATGACAATGCTTAATCCTTAAAATTGTTCTTTAAATGACTTCTCCATTTCGGATTAAGCAAATAATAAAGAATAATTTGATTTAAATTAATTAAATTTTTAAAATATAAATTGTAAATTTAATTTTTTTTTTATATGATTTCTTGATTCAGACAAAAATTGTAAACATTATCTTTACGTAAACATGCTCAGAGTTTACATAGAACTTCACATCATTTCTCATAATAAAAGAAAATTTAATATCTAGTTAGTGGATAGACTTTATAAAGAATAGATTTTAATGAGATAAACTGTACAGAGCTTCCTAATTGACTGAACTTAAGTATCATTCATAATGAAATTAATTTAATTTTTTAAATAAAAATTAATTTATTAAGTGTCTTCTTAGTATTAAAAATTATATTTATTCTTTAACGAAATTTCTATATTAAATTAATTTCGTAAGTTCTTCATAATTTTTATTATTAATATAAAAATTTTTTTAAAAG